ATACATTACATATATACATAATAATCATTGTAACCCATTCAGGGGTTGCAACAGTGCACCACTCACCCTTTTCCCTTCATCAATTCTATGATTCACCTCATCCTTCATAGACCCATCCACTGACACGTCCACTCCCAAATATCTGAATACATTCACCTCCTCCATACTCTCTCCCTCCAATCTGATATCCAATCTTTCATCACCTAATCTTTTTGTTATCCTCATAACCTTACTCTTTCCTTTATTCACCTTTAATTTTCTTCTTTTGCACACCCTACCAAATTCATATATATATATATATATATATATATATATATATATATATATATATATATATATATATATATATATATATATATATATATATATATATATATATATAATGTTCAAGCATATTATATCAAGTATTATAACGCTGCCTCTTCATAGAATACAATATTTAATAAAATAATAATAATAATAATAATAATAATAATGAACAACGAGGTCAGAGACACCTTAACAAGACCAGGTAGAAGAGGATCACTGGCCACCTCTGGTCATTAAGCAGTACTGAGGACAACTCATGGGCCACTGTAGGCCAGGCAGGGGCCACCGTGGGGCCAGGCAGGGGCCACCGTGGGGCCAGGCAGGGGCCACCGTGGGGCCAGGCAGGGGCCACCGTGGGGCCAGGCAGGGGCCACCATGGGCCAATGAACACACCCTGGCGCATCGTTAATCGTCAACGCTTCCCTGCTTCACTCTCTCAAATTGTTATGTAATAAACGTGGAGTTTAACGCAGCATTTCATTTAGGAATAAAACTGGTACACTGGAGCGCGGATTAACGACGAAGTTGTTTTAGATTAACGAAAATGTAGATTCAGTTTATATATATATATATATATATATATATATATATATATATATATATATATATATATATATATATATATATATATATATATATATATATATATATATATATATATATATATATATATATATATATATTCAACTTCCGGTGGAAAGCTTGGCCAGCAAAGGTAAATTGGAAAAAAATTAATTACTGGAATTCCTTTATATCAAAAAAAAAAAAAATTGCGTTGATTTTTTTTTTCAGTCGTTCGCTTTTGAAAAAAAAAATTATAATTTCCTAACCGGGTTAAATAATTACAATATCGATTATTAACAAACTGGTCTAAAAATCAGTTCTGAATTAATATTAACATTTTTTTTATTAAATTGATTGAACTAATAATGTTGATTTTTTTTTTGCTTTCATAAATTTTGGCTGGATTTGGAATTTTTATTTTGATTTATTTAATGTAATATATTTATAGTGTGTCGTAATAAAGTTCGTAATTAATTTTTTTATTTTTTATTAGTTTTTTGTTGTATTTATCTGGTTATTATTATTATTATTATTATTATTATTATTATTATTATTATTATTATTATTATTAACCAATCACCATTGTTACATGAGTTACAACTCGTGTTGACTCACCATCCTTCCTTACCCACTGTGTTGACGTCTCGAGGTATCTAATACGTCGTGGTCATGTCTCCTCTCTTCCTGCCTTCCTTCAGTATGATGTCTCAGCTGCTGAACCTGTGTCGTGTTGTGTCTCATCTTGACTCATCTTACATATCTTTCTCATTCTCAGTAATAGCAAACAGCTGTTCTGACCTTTCTTGTTACTGGACTATAACTCTATCTTCCCCGTAAATATACCTGCACCATCACTGTGCCACTACACCTACACCTTCACTACACCTGTATCTTCACTACACCTGCTCCACTACGCCTGCACCTTCATTACACCTGCTCCACTACACCTGCACCTTCACTGCACCTGCTCCACTACATCTGCACCTTCATTACACCTGCTTCACTACACCTGCACCTTCAGTACACCTGCACCACTACACTTGCATCACTACACCTGCACCACTACACCTGCATCACTACACCTGCTCCACTACACCTGCATCTTCACTAAATCTACACCACTACACCTGCGCCTTCACTACACCTACATCACTACACCTGCACCTTCACTACACCTACACCATTACACCGGCACCTTCACTACACCTGCACCACTACACCTACACCACTACACCTGCGCCTTCACTACACCTACATCACTACACCTGCACCTTCACTACACCTACACCATTACACCGGCACCTTCACTACACCTGCACCACTACACCTACACCACTACACCTGCGCCTTCACTACACCTACATCACTACACCTGCACCTTCACTAGACCTACACCACTACACCGGCACCTTCACTACACCTACATCACTACACCGGCACCTTCACTACACTTACACCACTTCACCTGCACCTTCACTATACCTACACCACTACACCGGCACCTTCACTACACCTGCATCACTACACCTACATCACTACACCTGCACCATTACACATGCAACTTCACTACACCTACAACATTACACCTGCACTTTCACTACACCTATACTACTACACCTGCACCACTACACTTGCACCACTACACCTGCACTTTCACTACACCTATACGATTACAGATGCACCACTACACCTGCACTTTCACTGCACCTATACTACTACACCTGCACCACTACAATTGCACCACTACACCTGCACAACTACACCCGTACTTTCACTACACCTACACCACTACACTTGCACCACTACACCTGCACCACTACACCCGTACTTTCACTACACCTACACTACTACACTTGCACCACTACACTTGCACCACTACACTTGCACCACTACACTTGCACCACTACACTTGCACCACTAGACCTGCATGCGCGTAACTCACCATCAGGAAGGTGCTCTCATGCGTAACAAATTAATAGCACCTAGCAAGGCTTCGATCATGGGATCTGAATGCCTTCTATACTACCCTCGAGAGAGAGAGAGATACAGAGACAGACAGATAGACAGACAGAGAGACAGAAAGACAGACAGAGACTGTGTGTGTCTGGTCCAGCAGAGAGTCGAACATTTGCATGTATATATGCTGGTAATGCTCACCTGTCCTAACCTATCCTTACGACTCTCCTCTGGCTTCTCTTCCTCTCCATGTATGTATATGTATGCATGACTAAGTAGAAATATGTATTCACCTCACCTATATGTGGTTACAGGGTTCGAGTCACGGCTCCTGGTCAGTTGTATCTGTATATATGTATGTATGTCTGTGTTTCTGTATATATGTATAAGGTATGAATACATATATGTATAAGGTATGAATACATATATGTTTGCACAACTGACATTTTCACACGCACACACACGCACACGAACGTATGCACGCACGCACGCACGCACGCAAGCACACACACACACACACACACACGCGCGCGCGCGCGCATATATATATATATATATATATATATATATATATATATATATATATATATATATATATAATATATATATATATATATATATATATATATACATGTATATTTAAATTAAATTGTCTCTGAGTTTAAATGGGTTTCATTAAATCGTTTTTAGGTTCCTTAAAATCTTTCTATTTAATTTGAAACATTTCTATATAAGTTAAATTGTCTATTTTTAAGTTAAATTGTCTATTTTTAAGTTAAATTTTCTATTTTAAAGTTAAATTTTCTATTTTAAAGTTAAATTTTCTATTTTAAAGTTAAATTGTCTCTTTTGTCTGACTCACCTCACAGACATGAAGACTGTCACCAGACTCACCTCACAGACATGATAACTGGCACGGCTTACCTCCAGGTCATCTGTGACCTCCAGGTTGTGACCTCCAGGTCATCTGTGACCTCTAGGTCATCTGTGACCTCCAGGTCATCTGTGACCTCCAGGTCATCTGTGACCTCCAGGTCATCTGTGACTCCAGGTCATCTGTGATCTCCAGGTTATTGTGACTCCAGGTATCTGTGACCTCCAGGTCATCTGTGACCTCTAGGTCATCTGTGACCTCCAGGTCATCTGTGACCTCCAGGTCATCTGTGATCTCCAGGTCATCTGTGACCTCCAGGTCATCTGTGATCTCCAGGTTATTTGTGACCTCCAGGTCATCTGTGACCTCCAGGTCATCTGTGATCTCCAGGTCATCTGTGACCTCCAGGTCATCTGTGACCTCCAGGTCATCTGTGACCTCCAGGTTATTTGTGACCTCCAGGTCATCTGTGACCTCCAGGTCATATGTGACCTCCAGGTTTTTTGTGACCTCCAGGTCATCTGTGATCTCCATGTCATCTGTGACCTCCAGGTCATCTGTGACCTCCAGATTATTTGTGACCTCCAGGTCATGTGATCTCCAGGTTATTTGTGACCTCCAGGTCATCTGTAACCTCCGGGTCATCTGTGACCACCAGGTTATTTGTGACCTCCAAGTCATCTGTGACCTCCGGGTCATTTGTGACCTCCAGGTTATTTGTGACCTCCAGGTCATCTGTGACCTACAGGACAGCTGCGACTTCTAGGTCATCTGTGACCTCCAGGTCATCTGTGACCCAGGTTATCTGTGACCTCCAGGTCATCTGTGACCTCCAAGTCATCTGTGACCTCCAGGTCAGCTGCGACCTCTAGGTCATCTGTGACCTCTAGGTCATCTGTGACCTCCAGGTCATCTGTGACCTCTAGGTAATCTGTGACCTCCAGGTCATCTGTGACCTCCAGGTAAAGGCGGGAAGTCAAACATGGCGGAGCTGTGGCTGTCAAGTTCTAACTTCAAATCATTCTCCTCAAACTTCATTATTCCACTAAAATAATTGTTTTGCTGGAATATTTGGTCCTCTTCGTTGTTTTATAGATACATTTATATTCATGTTTGTTTTATTAATTTAAATTTAGTCAGTGTATACACTACTAGCGAATGAGGTCGCAGGATTTCCGTGACGTCGTGACTTGGAGCACCAATGAATGCGTGGGCGTTTAGGTACTTCAGCCAATGGGAAGGCTTGCTGCCATGTGACGTCACGTTGAAGCCAATAGGCATTGTTGCAGGGAATGACGTCACAGAGGAGCCAATAGGAAGCGTTATAATGAGTGACATCACTGGCAGGTTGGTTGATATAAAGGGAGGAGAGAGTGCGAGTGAGGTCAGAGTGTCAGCAGCGTCACATACACACACACAGCAACACAGGTACGTCCACACTTCTCGACAACACTCAAACTTCCATCATATATAACAACCTCCGACTTATACATTTTAAATTACTCTCTGTAAGGTTTTCCAGTGTATATTCAATATTAGTTTTTTTTGCTGACTCAAAAAATAATAATATTATAAGTTACATATTCTAAGACCCAAGATATTAATTGTACATTTTTAAATAGTTTGATATTTTATTCTTAAATCTATTGTAATAATTTTCTTGTTTAGTTTCGGTTGTAACTCAATAATTTACATGTGAATCATATATATAAATTATTTGTATTATTGAAGAAGTGATTACTGAAACTTAATGTATATTATTTCTAGTGTGTTTACTGGATAATTAGGATAATCTTGACCAAAATGATGAATCAGGATATTGGGACTTTGAAAGAGGGGGGAGGGAGGGGAGGGGAAGTGACCGGGTTATGTTGATGGGATCTTGATTCAAGGTATTGGACGCGCCCTCCACTTTTTCGTAACATTCTCAATACCTTTCGATTTCCAGACGCTGCATAAGCCCTACGGGTTTTGTGCACCCCCAAGACTAATAATACATAGAGCCTACCTGTGTCGGGACCCGGACACCCGTATAAAATTGATCTTTTCATTTCGACCTCAGACTGAGACCCTCTTCAGATAAAATTTGAATTGGTGTGTTAGTTCTGAGTAGCACAAGACTCTGGTCAAGCTTATCTAATTAAAAGTGACACACTCTGAGTACTTAGTAAGAATGTTCATGTTATTTAATGAAATTAGGACCTGGTGGAAGCAGATTCCATACACAGTTATAAGAGTAGGTATGATAGGCTGTATGAGTTCAGGATTAGTGCATGACTGTGTCTACTTCTATCACTTATTTATATATATATATATATATAATATATATATATATATATATATATATATATTATTATATATATATATATATAATGAAAATATATATATATATATATGTATATAATATATTTTAAAATATATATATATATATATATATATATATATATATATATATATAATGAAAATATATATATATATATATGTATATATATATATATATATATATATATATATATATATTATATATATATAATGAAAATATATATATATATATATGTATATATATATATATATATATATATATATATATATAAAATATATATAATATATATATATATAGTCATGTACTAGTCCTGGTCTCATACAACCTATCATACCTACTCTTATAACTGTGTATGGAATCTGCTTCCACCACGTCCTTACCTTAGCACCTACAGACTGAAGAAGGATTATTTTTGTCCTCACTAATTTCCATCCTTGGTTTGAATCTTTTCTCGTTCTTTTTGTCTGTCTCTGTTTGACCTGTCGAGTTCTCTAAGTATCATTTACGTAGTGGTTATAGCTCCTCCATACCGTCTTCTGCTGATGTAACGATTACTGTATTTAGTTTTTTTTATCGTAGGTTATTGCTCATAGTGCGGATACTATTGTTGTGTTTAAGCTCCTGAATTTCTTTAGATTCTGAAGACAGTTGATTAGTGAAGGCTCCAAGCTGGTTCTGCGTACTCCAGTATGATAGAGTTAACGGACGTCATACTTCCAGAGGTGAAAACCTTGGTCGAGTTGTCTGAATACCGTTCTTAAGTTTTCCAGACGCATGCATATTCTCCACGGGTATCATCCAGTAATATGCTCGTTGTCATGCTTACCTCCAGACTCTTGTCTTTAAGTGATATTTGTAATTTCTCTCCTCTCCATTCTCCTGTGACTCTAGGCCATATCTAGTCTTGTTTCACTTTGAAGTTTGATAACATGCACATGATAAGCTTTAAGTTAGTTACAAACACAAATAATAAGCAGACACAATACCATGACTGGAACAATATTAAAATAACCCGCACATAACATAAACTTATGGCGGGTTATTTCTATAAAATGTCCAACCAAATATCCCATGTACCTGCTAACAGAGTTTATCTACTTAAATTTCATCTTCAGTGCTCACTTTAGTTTAGATATTTTTCTCAGTTTCCACTAGTTCCGCCACATAATATACGCTACACACTTCCATTTTAACGCTTCTAATATCCAGTATTTTTAATAATATTTTCTACTATTTTTACACATACTTTTTCTTAATTCATAGTTTTAGCTTCACCAGAACCTTCTATGTATACTGAGAACATCATCGCCACCAACTAGGGACACATCTTATATAACAATCTAATGTAAAAATTATGCTATTTACTATGGCTGGACACCACCTGTAAGAAGCCATTGTCACGTAATTCTATAAACTGGCCAGAAAATTATTGCCTTCATTGTCGCATAAATATTCTTTGTGCAATCGCAAAAAAAAAAAAAAAAAAAAAAAAGCAATTGCAACTTGTATAATTACTACCAATTCAGAGTCATGTACTTATATATCTGTTATATCTGTGTGACTCTGATGGGTTAGTATTATACCCCTTAAAGAATATCTTATCAATTCACATACACTTTTTAAATTACACCAAAGTGGTTGGGCCACTTACCTTTTATATCCTACCTCTCCCCCCCCCTCTCACCCTTTTCCAATATTTCCATCCTTACCCATCCTTCTTCCTTACCCATCTTACCAAAGCTCTGGTCATAAGAAGAAGTTTTAGCCTCATGCTCTTGGTACTAACTTCACTTACTCTCTTATGTGGTTCTAATGGCTTCTCTTCTAGTATTCATTTATCCATATATTTTTTTTTTTTATTTTTTATTATCACACTGGCCGATTCCCACCAAGGCAGGGTGGCCCGAAAAAGAAAAACTTTCACCATCATTCACTCCATCACTGTCTTGCCAGAAGGGTGCTTTACACTACAGTTTTTAAACTGCAACATTAACACCCCTCCTTCAGAGTGCAGGCACTGTACTTCCCATCTCCAGGACTCAAGTCCGGCCTGCCGGTTTCCCTGAATCCCTTCATAAATGTTACTTCATATCCATATATATATAATATATATATATTATATATATATATATATATATATATATATATATTATAATATATATATATATTATTATGTGCTGTGGTGCGTGTGTGTGTGTGTGTGTGTGTGTGTGTGTGTGTGTGTGTATGTGTGTGTACACGTGCTTTTATATGCAAAATCACATGAGTAAAAATGGCTGTTCATTCACCTAATTAATGGTCGCTATGGATGGTGAAACATGATAGGTCCTATGGCAGGTTAGCCGAGCCTGTTGACGAATGCTGGCCTGACTGGAAAGGTAGTCAGCAAGCAGGTACCTAGGTAGTAGCCAGGTCCTCTCTGGGCAGGTACATAACAGGTAGGTACTGGAGTAAGAGGTAAGTTCTGCCTGATCACTGCTGCTTTGAGACTACGAGTGTGTAAGAGAGTCAGTCAACTTCAACTCTTCTTATATGAGGTGAATAACGTGAGCTTCAGATTAATAATGATTTCAGACCAATAATGACTTCAGACTAATGATAACTCTTTGCATCAATGAGTAAAGAAAGGCACAATAACGTGACTGGAACAATACACAAATTACTCGCACATAGGAGACTGAAACTTATGCCGACGTTTCGGTCCGACTTGGACCATTAAGTAGTCACACGTGTGATTTGTTATTGGTCAAAAGTCGGATGGAAATTGTATCGTAAATTTCAATTTCCTACGTGTGGGCTATTTGTGGATCTTCCCATCAATGGTCTCTGATCCAGAACAGTCACAATATGCAACAGCAATGATTTTTTAATCTGATTAATCACATGGCACGATCTAGCCTTCATAAGTGGTCAACCACATAATGTGACTGAATCTTCATAAGTGGCCAACCACATAATGTGACTGTGTGAAGAATTACTCAGCTCTGTAACAACTTCAGACAGTATTACCAATGGCTGGCTCCTCCTCAGGAAAATTAATGAATAGAAAAAGAAATAATAATTCACAAAGATAAACACTTTATTATTTAGTAATGCAAAGATAAAACAGTGAAAAAATGAAGGTGTATCCTACCTGAAAGAAAAATTAAAAATTAAATGGAAAAATGACATTTGAATTCAACGCTAATATATACAGTGATACTGGATTGTCTGGTTGAGGTTGACACCGTCTTGTAGAAATTGTAGCCGTTGCTGATGTGGGGGGGGGGGTGTCACAGGTGTTTAATGACAACCCAATGACTAGTTCTTCACAGAGTCTATAGCCTTGAATAGTCAGTCCAGATGACAGGAACGTAGGTTCTTTACAACTACAAAGATGAGGAGTAGTGTCCTGTACAATTAATCAGGTAGGTAGATCATAAGGTGATGTCCCAAGACCGGTTTCAGTCCGTCTCCTTCAACACTTCTCGTTGGTTGGCAGGTGACCCGATCTGTCATTCCAAGCTGGAAAGAGAGACAGGTTACCCACTGCTTAAGAAATCACTCTCCATGATAAGTGTAAGATACTTAAAAAAGGTGGTGATTAACTAAAAGTCTCATGTGGAGCTTAAAACTGAAAGGACTAAGTTTATTATTGGTCAAAAGTGAAGCTTTCAACCAATATCCACTAGAATAGGAGCAGAGGCTTTTACTTACAGTTGTGCTGGGAGCTGTGAGTCGAGTGATTACTGTTTGGCCGGAGCCCCACACGTCACCTTTCGGGGCGAAGAGAAAGGGGGGGGGATAGCGGGAGCTAGAGTGACCCTACCTTATCAAGCAGCCAGCAATCAAACTATCGTTACCATATACTCGCTCGCTACTCCTATCTGTTGAACTTTTCCTTCACAGACTGTATCTTCAGAAGTGACCAACCACATAATGTGACTTGTATCTTCAGAAGTGACCAACCACATAATGTGACTGTATCTTCAGAAGTGACCAACCACATAATGTGACTATCTTCAGAAGTGACCAACCACATAATGTGACTGTATCTTCAGAAGTGACCAACCACATAATGCGCTTGAATCTTCATAAGTGACCAACCACATAATGTGACTGTATC